ATGCACTCGTCGGACATTTGCTTATCTTTCGTGATATCCATATCCATCGTCCATCTGGGACGTACTTCCTCCTACTCGTTTCCTCCTCGGACGTACAGATCGCAGCCAGGGATACACTCAATGGAATGAATTCTGTCCAGCTTACCGAGGCAGCCAATCACACGGATGAATTTCCCATATATTTTGGATTCAGGGTCTAGGCTGATAACGTACGATTTCCACGATATCGGGTGGGAATGCAGATCCAATAAAGACCGTCGACTAGTAAATAAGATTAGGTGGGTGCTGGAGTGATGTGCAGGAGTAATCATAATCATCAGCAATAATGAAATTGGGACGGCGTATATTCGCCCAGATTAGCCAGTATCATAAGTACCGTCTCGTTAGTCGGTATGTGGTGTCCCTTTTTCTCGCATGATGAAGTCTTTTTGAGGGAACTTTGTCATCCTTACAGGCACAGCCACGCTGGTATCGTGTGTTTATTGGCTCTCCTGCTGGTTGTCATGATGCCGATGGAGTTCTTCTCATTTTCCTTCATTTGCCAATCACGGACCACATACCACGCGTGCCATGGAGGCCCCCTTACATGACATTCCCTTCGTTCTCTCAAGAGAACGAAGTCCATTAGTCATGAACCTCATTCGTTTCAGCTGACGAATCCCGGGGAATCAATTCCCGATGTGGAGATTGACGGTGGGAGGGTCTCCGCCCTTTGCACACCCCTCCTCTGGAAAATGAAGTTGTATGTCCCGTCCGAGACGTCCATACCTTAGGAATGATGAGGCTGCAATTCCTCGCTGTCTAAGATCTAATCTATCTACATTCTACTCGTCCGATCCGACTATCCAGGGGTAGAGCTCTTTGTGCAATCAGTGGCCGCATGCTAGGAGCCCGTATGTACATACATACCTGTACACGCCTCGCTCTCTCTGTGTGTGTACCTGGAGTCATATCTGACGGAATGGGTCTGAGAAAGGAAGGGGATGGGGAGATAGTAGCTGAATGAGAGCAATATGTATGTACAGATATGCGACATGAACGCATGCCTTAAGAGAGAGAGAAAAAAGAAAAGAAAAAAGAAAAACGAATGAGTAAAATTCTGTTTTCTGTCTTTGATGTATGACAGATCTTAGTGAAGGGTTGAGTCGAGTCACGTTAATTTCCCCTCCTCAGCTCTCAGGTCATCTCCCCTGCAACCCCAAACAAGAATAGTAGAGAATCAACCAACTTCCATGCTCTGGCAGATCCTTAATCCCCATTCCTCCAATACTCCTTATGCTTCCCAGCTTCAATGGACCTCTGCAGTCGAGTTCCCGTTCATTGGTCCCTTCGTATGGATGCACAGACAGTACGTACTTTTGGGTCATGGTGTCTCCCCCCCCCCTCCCTCTCCTGTCCTGCCAATGTGGAAACCTTTCCTTTCTTTTTCTCTCTGAAGTTTGAACACGTTATCGCGTGGGGTTTTGCGATGGAGTTAGTGTCCACCCACCGGCCGTCGATCACATCGTCTATCCTTTCCCTTCTTCTCCGCCGTTGACATTGATGCTCCCTCTCGTCTTCCCTTGTCATTATTTTTTATTAATTATATATAGGGAGTGTGTTAATTAACCTTGTTCTATTTAAAAACGGATCTTCTTCACAGTCACATCCTAGTCTATGTTTCATCTCAGAACCTACTCAGCCTCACTGCCCGACTTTTCTCATCGGCTTCCCTTTTTGACTATGTTTGGTCTCGTCTCAACTATCACCATTCTACAAGAAGACCATTCTGACAGTGGATGGTGTCTACAAGTTATTATATTAGACTCATGGCCGGTGAAAGCTTCAAACACCTATATAAATCACTCTGCCACTCGATTCACGCGTTACCCTGACACATCCTCAATCCTCTGGCTTGTCGGTATATCCAAGACGGGGAAGCGATTATCGGCAAGGTCATTTTAGACAGCTGACTTGGCAGCGATGAACGTATGTGACCTTCGTCCGATCTCGTTCAGTCTTAACCTAATTGTCAACCCTCCATGAAATCTTCCAGTAAACTAACTATGCCCATGTGCTTTAGGAGCCTAACCCCAAAAGACTAGCTTGGGACAACTCCGGGGATATCCTCCAAGGCATGCTGGACCGGCAAGTCGCACCAGCCTCACCGCAGTTAGAGTACTCGTCGGATGGGCTTTTAGTCTCTGAGTACGCTCTAAGCGATCCAGCGTCTTTTCTAGGCCTGCAATTCGGTCCTGACTCTGCAGTTATACCGCACAGCCATCTATCGATGCTCAACCAATGGCCACCACATCACCAGCAAACATCGTCACCGCCGCCTCAACCCAGCTTAGATGTTTCTCAGTACCATCACCCGCGGTTAAAGAGCAACCAAGATGCATGGAACCCGCTTCAAGTAACCGGCGTGCCGGTGAACACGTCACTATGGGGGTTCCCTAACGCTAATAACCTCCAGCAGACGTCTGAAGGTGGCCGCAAATATTCGACGGGGCAGTACAGCGCAACTTCCGAGAGTGACAGTCATTATAACGGCTTCCACCCCTCAGACTCGGGATACTGCAGTCACAGCTGTGCCACACGGTCGGTCACCACGTCGTCTTACGCGGTTGATTCTGTCAGCAGCCCATTCTTAGCGCCGCATGAACATGAACAAGAAGATCGGTCGTCAATATTAGATCTCGGTCCATCCCACTGTGGCGACACAGTGGTCGATGCACTGGAGATGGCAGAATCATCATCTTTAATGTGTCATGATATGATTACATGTGATTACCCCAACTGCCCTTGGACGGGCAAGTGTCCATCCGATAAGAGGTATGCTTCCTCTCTTCGGCATGTTTGAACAAAATCATCATGCAGAAGGGCCATGAAGTTAATTAAGCAGCAGGAAGCATGAAGCGAGACATAGAAAGCTCTTCAAATGCGACGAGCCTGGCTGTACGCGGAAGGAAGGCTTCGGTACCATCAATGATCTTGCACGACATAAGAAGTGCGTCCACAAACAGGAGCCAGAGCGTGGCCCCAAAGTGCTGTACATGTGTTTCGGGCGTAACTGTCCACGCCGAGGCAAGGAATGGCCCCGGTTGGACAACTTCCGCCAGCATCTCTCCCGGATGCACAATGATGAGGATACAAATGAGCTACTGAAGAGGTAAGTTAGCTTGCCTATGGATACGTGAAAATAAAAAGCAAGCATTAACCTCGTCCAGGTCGCATGATTGGTATGAGTCTTGTGTAAAGCCACGAGTTGAGCCTTCATCCTTTGCCGACCACATCTCGGACGAGGTAACGGTTGCTGCTTCTGATTCAGAATATGTCAGGAGGGATTCGGGTCAGGACCTCTACAGTTTGCGATCTCCAGATACGCCTCTCTTTAGGCCATCTAATCAGCCGGGCCTCCAATCAAATAAGAACTCCCAGACTCAACGAAGATATTCTGCCCTGGACAGTACACCAAGGCTCCCTGCAAGAGATACTGCGCAGGGCCTTGAACTACCTGCTCTGACGACCCTCAACTTGAGCTCAAACACGGACCTAGAGCCTTCCACTTCTTCTCGGCTGGGACACGCCCAATCTGACAGAATGGAAAATATGGTATCCGAAATGGCTACTAACATGGTCAACGTCATGGCAAGTATGATGAACAGCAGTAGCAACGATAGTGGCAACAGTCAGCGCAGGCATAGCCACCATATGGGCGACAAATTAGAGTCACTTGAGCGGAATAACGGACTGTCCGATGAGAGGCGGGAGATGATGCAGAAGATTCTATCTGCAGCTCTAGACCAGGTGTCCGGAAACCCAGAACCTAGCCAGGCTGATTCACAGACGGTGCCTGACAGTAAGTCCGACAAGAAAGGTTGGATACAATGCGAATTCTGCACGAAGCGCACGCGGTTGCGCTGTGAAATGAAGTAGGTGAAGATACGGCGCTTTTATCTGCAATCAAGTCCTAACATTTCAACTTCAAGGAAACATAAGAAGCGCCATGAGCGACCATATGGTTGCACGTTCGAAAAATGCAGCAAGACCTTCGGTAGCAAAGCCGACTGGAAACGACACGAGAACTCCCAGCATTTCCCCTTGCAGAGTTGGCGCTGCACCCTTCCCGATGCCACGCAAGGGGATCAATCCTGTGCTCGCCTGTTCTATGACCAAGGAGAATATGCCCGTCACCTGAAAAAGCATCACCATGCAGAAGATACAGAGGTGCAGACTGCACTCTCCAAGAACAGCATCGGTCCGCATGGACAGTCACAATTCTGGTGCGGCTTCTGTCGTGACATCATTCCACTAAAAGGTCAGGGCCTTGCTGCGTGGAATGAGCGCTTCAATCACATAGATACTGAGCACTTCAAAAATGGCGAGCGGATCGAGGATTGGCTCCTCCCTTCGGGACATCTGACCAAGGGCCGAGAACGCGACGGAAAGGAACGAATCGGAACGCACGCAGATGGCGATGGTGAGCCTCCAGTAGACGATGTGAGCGATGATGATACTGTCGGGAGTATCTGTAACTCTGAGGGCGAGAACCCACGGGATGACACCCCGGTGGCGGCCCCAGAACAAGTACATAACCTTCCACTTCGCCAAGTGAACACTCATGTTCAAAACAACTCTCCTATGTTCAACCCTCTTCCCGATCAGACGAACTTACGAAAACGCAAATTCTCCGCCCCACAACCGTCTCTAGACTATTATATTCGGGCAGATATTCCGGCTATGGAGAAAAGATATAAGACCGATGATGCGATCCAATCCCATTATGGAAACCTCGTCTACTGCGTAAGTTATTCAGGTTCAGCTGGTTTGGGAGACGAAAGATAGGCTAACCCGAGAACAGTGTCAGTGTACGCAGGGTCCTTTTCCTTGGTCTTATACCGCACAATGCTTATGTTGCCCTCATAGCTTCTGTGGCAGTTGTGGGAGTGAGCGCCAGCCTCTTCCTAATGGATATATAGAATCCTCTTAGAGGGTGCTGTACATACATATTGAGCCTACCAGACTAGCTCTGAATGATATGAAAGTGACGTCAAAAGCTTACATTGACATACGGGGTATATACAATACAATGTTCACGTAGGATAAGATGAAAAGCCCTTATTTTTGGGTGCTCGTCAGCTCCCTAGCCTGCTTCTCCAGAGCCGCCACTTCTTCTGTGAGGGATTGTTAGGAGCAATGCGGGAGGTGAAAACGAATAGGAGAACTCCACAAACACGTACGATTCTTGGTATATTTCGACTCATCCATTTCAAGCTTCAGCCATGTCCAGTAAATCACTTGGTATGTGAAGATGGCTCCCAAGAAGACCTTGGCAAACGGACTTGCGAAGAGTTTGTACCGGGATACCTGGCTTGGGTTAGCCTTTATTTAAGCATGGTTATTTGACCTTCCAAACTTGAAGATACTATGAATATATCTTTGTTATGGAGACCTTGCGTTGGGCCCCATGGCTCAATTTATGATAGTATTAACAGCAAAGGCTGGGAAGCTTACCCCTTCTTTGAATGAACTGGATTCGTGGGCGTTCGAGTTGCTCCCGGTGGTGCTAAATGGTCTGCGAGATGGGAATGCAGTGGAGAGAAAACGTGACAGCGGGGGGCGAGTTGATGGCAGCCGGCGAAACATATTGAGAATGGAAAGAGATATTACCTGGTCAAGCTTCGTATGTACTGGGGTTAGCGGTAGTAGATTGAATCCTGTAGATATAAACATTTATATATATACAAGTTAGATTGAGTCGGGGATGGAAGAAGAATCGATGACTCAGCAGTCACATGACAAATAGGTCGCTAAAGCCGCATTCGGCAAGCGGCTCTGCATTAAATCATGATGGACAGGCGGGGAGGAGCCTAAGGACGATAAGCTTCGAGGACCTGGGGAAAGGTCGAGGTTCCTGACCGACTTATTTCTTCTTTCTTCCATCCTTTGGCACCTCGGGTTTGCGCCCTGGACTACGTCGAGATCCGGTCGGAGAGCGGTCAATATTGACCGAATCTATGCATCGAAAGCTGGAACTCTACTGTGAATAGGTTTACGGATGGTTTCAGTGGGCTCTACGTGGGTGGGAAGAGGGAGTGATGGTGCGGCAAAGGGACGACGGTTGAAGGGTTGAGCTGTTGTGATTTCGCATGACCAACGGAAAATTGACGGTACGGAATAGTGCTGCTGCGGTCGTGGAGCAAAATGGGCAAAATGACGCGGGTGAAGGCACGTGCACCGGGGCGCTAACCCCAAAGGAGGCCTAGCTGCGGCGCGGGTCTGTGGCTCGTGCCCCGGGAATGGCAGGACTAGCCGGACGGCCAGCTGTGGCTGGAGCAGGCCAGGCAAAAGGCGTGCGCGAGTCTTTCCGCCCTTCGATCTTCTTGTCCCACGCCCGTTTATTCGATGTTTTGTTACTCGTGTGGCAGCGTGGATTTTGGCCCATTTGACCGTTTCGTTTTTCGCTCGTTTCTGATTCTGGTGCGCCATCTCCTGTTCTTCTGTCACTGGATGCGATCGGGCCCTTTCCTTCCCGCACCGGCTTTTGTCGTGAGATTCACTGCGATTTCTCTCTCCCGGGGCCCTGCGCTTTGCGCTTCGCCGTAGTCCCGTGGTATATATAACCACCTCTTGTCCACGGGCGGCACGTCGTCCCCCCAACATTGATGTATCGTGTCTGCAGGGGAGCTTAGGTCTTTGTCTGGTTGCATGAGAAACAATACCATTGTCTTGTGCTGAATGGCAGTGTCTGCTTGGGTCTGTTTACTTTTCGTTTAAGGTGACAATACGTTCTACTTTTCCATTCACTCAGTTCCTGGTGAGTTCCATCGATATCCCTACATCCCCATCAGCCTCCCCGGGCGCGAATTTCTCGTGTCTTTCATGACCTATCACATGGCAACTTGTCTCAAATCACTCTGTCTTTGCTCACATGGCGATCGTCAAAAGAGATCCAACCCCCAAGCCTTTCTGGCGCGATACTATGGCTCGTATGAAGCGCTCAATCGAAGAAATCGCCAACAAGTCCGATTCGGACGACGACGACTACAGCGACCACCCCCGCTCATCTCGCCGCTCCGCCTCGCGTTCTAAATCGAGGAAGAAAGCCAAGCCATCGAAGAAGAGGGCTCGTCGCCGTTCCGGCGATGACATTATCTCTGACGATGATGATTTCTTCAGTGAGGATGAGGAATTGTCTTACGACGAGTCGGAGGAAGAAGTTGATGACAACGCTCAGAGGAATGCGAGAGGCCTAGTAGCGCGAAGGGCAGCCACGAACCGACCACTTTATAACGAACCCGATTCAAGCAGCATCGAGGACGATGACAATGAAACAGAAGACACCTCACCAAAGAAACGCAAAACTGCCGTAGTCACGCTGAAATTGGGTGATGCTTTGAAGCGACAGCCGCAACTGGACCAAGGGAGCCGACGAGTCACCCGGCGTACACGAGGCGCGTCGGAAGACATTTACGCGCTCACCAACTCGGGTCGCCATGTGGAAACAGTCGAACGAGGTACACATAGCCCAGAGGCCGAAGTAATACGACCAAATCGCCGCGGATCTCGCTCATCGAAGCAGGTCCCCACAGTTATGGAGGAGGATGAAGATACTCAGGAGAAGCAGGAAGAGTATATTGAAGAGACCACGGATATCAAAGGCTCTCAGATCGAGATTATGGAAAGTGCGCACGCCAGCTTCGAAGAAGGGCCCATATCCGCCGGGGATGGCCTGCAGGGAGCGGCAGATGCTGACGAGGGATTTGTGCCCGAGTCTGAGAACGAAGATGCTGAGCACGAAGATGATGACGATGAAGACGAGGGCCCAGTAACCCGGAGAAGAACTCGTCCAAATAGAGGCCAGCAAATTGAGGAGCCCGAGCAGCCAGATGAAGAAGAAGCCTCGGGGCCTCGTCGCTCCAGCCGAAAAAAGCCGAAGAGTTCTCAACGGAAACGATCAAACGATGAGGAGAGCGACTTTGAACCCGAAGAAGAAGACTCAAACGATGATGATGAGGTATCCCAGACCGGAAAATCCAACGGCTCTCCCCGTAAAGCCAGTCAAGCACGCGATGATGAAGAGGACAGCACCGCCGGCCGGCGTCCTGGTCTTCGCAAAAGGGCGTCTCGATCTCGTGGGCAATCCGAAGCGGCAGCTGATATTGCAGAGGAACTCGCCGAAGAGCTTGAGGATCTGAGGGGTGGTCGACCTCGTAGAAGGTTGCAGGCGGATATTGTGTATGAAAAACCTCGGCGCAGCCGCAAGGATGTGGATTATCGAATCATACGACCGGATCTAATTCTACCGATTGAAGAAGCTGAGAACGAGGTCAATGAGTCTCCCTCGCGCCGTGGTGGCCGCGGGGGTGGAGGCGGCAGTAGCTGGCAACGCACCCTATTCCCGACATATGGGCCTTTCGGAGGCGGCGGCCCGGCTGCAATTCTGGCTCCACCGGGAGCACCTGCTGCGACTGGAGGCGTTGACAGTGATAGCAGCGATGATGAAGGGTTGCATCACCCGCGTGGCTCTGTTGCCGGTGTAGGGTCCGCTCTTGGGCCACATGGCGCTGGTCTTCTCCCCGGCCAGACCCAAACACACGACGCTACACAGGGTCTCTCAGGGACACCGGCAAACCTGGGCAAAGTCAAGGATAAACAGGCGCTTGCGGATGCAGACCCGTTAGGAGTGGATATGAGCGTCACTTTCGACAGTGTTGGAGGCTTGCAGGGACATATTGATCAGTTAAAGGAAATGGTGTCTCTTCCTCTGCTATACCCGGAGATCTTCCAGCGTTTCCACATCGTGCCGCCTAGAGGAGTTCTCTTTCACGGTCCCCCTGGAACGGGTAAAACTCTTCTGGCCAGGGCCTTGGCGAACAGTGTCAGTTCCGAGGGCCGTAAAGTCACATTCTACATGAGAAAAGGAGCTGATGCGCTAAGCAAATGGGTGGGTGAGGCTGAAAGGCAGCTGCGACTGCTATTCGAGGAAGCTCGTAAAACACAGCCTAGCATTATCTTTTTTGACGAAATTGACGGTGAGTGAAAAACCCCTCAAGAGTGCGTTCTTGCAACACTACTGACTTGTCTACCTCCAGGTCTGGCTCCTGTGAGATCAAGCAAACAGGAACAGATCCATGCGTCTATTGTCTCTACTCTACTAGCGTTGATGGATGGTATGGATGGCCGTGGTCAGGTCATTGTTATTGGTGCCACTAATCGACCGGACTCGATTGACCCTGCTCTACGCCGTCCGGGTCGTTTTGATCGAGAGTTCTACTTTCCCCTACCGAATTCCGAAGGTCGGCGCGCTATTCTCGACATCCATACTAAGGGCTGGGATCCGCCTCTTCCAGGACATATAAAGGATGAGCTGGCTGAGATCACCAAGGGCTATGGAGGAGCCGACCTTCGTGCTCTTTGCACAGAAGCCGCCCTGAACGCGGTACAAAGAAGATACCCCCAGATTTACAAATCCGATAAGAAGCTTCTTATCGATCCGAAGAACATCAATGTCACCCCGAAGGACTTCATGCTCGCCATCAAGAAGATGGTCCCATCATCGGAGAGGTCCACTTCATCTGGCGCCTCGCCACTCCCTAAGGAAGTTGAATCCTTGCTTCGTCATCCTCTGGCGGACATTAGAGCTCTGCTCTCCGAAATCCTTCCACAAAGAAAGCGGCTTACTGCTCTGGAAGAAGCACAATTTGAGGAGCCCGAGGGCGCTGGAAGCTTCCAAAGCGAGCAGATGCAGCAAGAATTCGACAGGTCGCGAGTTTTCAGGCCCAGGATGCTGCTTCGCGGACTAATGGGCATGGGCCAACAGTATCTGGCGGCTGCCATTTTGCATTACTTTGAAGGACTGCACGTGCAATCGTTCGATTTGCCTACTCTCCTCAGCGATTCGACTCGGTCTCCGGAAGCAGCTGTCATACAGCTGTTTGCAGAGGTCAAGAGGCATAGGCCAAGTGTGATTTACATTCCCAACATAGAAACTTGGTCCGAAACTGTTGGGCAAGCCGTGCTCTCCACCTTCTTGGGTTTGCTGCGGTCGATCCCTCCCACCGATCCTGTCTTGCTACTCGGAGTCCAGGAGCTGACTGGTGACGAACCGGACACCGGGTTGCTACGGCAAATGTTTGGGTTCTCCAAGAGAAACTTCTACGACCTGAAAGCGCCAGGAAATGAAGCGCGGTACGAGTATTTCAGCAAGGTGGTTGAGTACATCAAAACCTCGCCAGCGCATTTTCCGGATCCTGAAAACCGTAAGAAGAGGGAACTCGAAACTCTGGAGGTTGCACCTCCGCCTCCAACAAAACCCGCAACGCCGCTCACCAAGGAGCAGCTAAAAGCCCAGAAAAAGAAAGATCACCAAACGCTGAATCTTCTGAAGATTAGAATCCAGCCTATCATGGATCAGATCAAGAAGTACAAACGGTTCAGAACCGGTGTGATCGATGAGTCTCAGATCCGGTACCTCTGGGAAGAAGAGGATCCGAACACCGTCACAAGCGATCTACCGATTGAACAGCGGACTACTTTCCGGCCGTTCGAGAAGGCTTATGACAAACACGGCGTCCCGGGACTCTGGGAAACCGTGTCGGGTAAATTCTTTTACAATATGGAAATCGTTACCATCGAGAAGCGCCTCTCCAATGGATATTACAAACGGCCCAGCGACTTCCTGGCGGATATAAAACGACTGGCCAAAGATGCACGACAAACTGGCGATCAAGAGAGAATCTTGAGGGCCAACGAGCTTCTGTCTAACGTTGAAGTTGATATTTCCACCATCGAGCAGGCTGAACCGCAGCTCGTCGCAGAATGCGAGAATGTCTACATTCGGGAATTGGAAAGGGAGAAGCTCGCAGCTGAAAAGGCTAAGAGGGCCGAGGAAGCGGAAAAGGGAGGCTTTTTGGGTCATACAGCGAACCATAATGTACCGCATGGTAATACTGAGTCCGGTCCTTCGAGTGGCCCTGTGGTGTTAGGCGAGACATTCCCCGCCCTCCCTCCCAAAGAACAGGTCAGACCGGTGACACCGACACGGCAATCAACGGCAAGCTTCTTGACAAATGGCTACCATCAAAGCGGAGGCTCAGATCTTAATGATCTAAGCGGCCATGGACCGACAAGCAACGGTTCACATGAGTCGAGGCCAGATGGGGACGGCGATGTCTACATGACTAATTCGGAAGATCACTCGGGCACAAGAGACACACAGGGCAGTTCATTTGGGCCATCTGCACAACCAAAGCCACCATATTCCCACACAGCGCCTTCCCAGCAGATACGACGTGAATCAGGTCTCTCAAGCTTCTCGCAGAAGGGGCCAATGACCCCAATGGCTCCGGGATCTCAGCCACACGATTATACCAACGAAGCTTCAACTACGCAGACAACTTCAGGCCAAAAATCGTCGGATCAATCATCTCTCCGACCAAACTATACGCAAAGTCCCATAGTAGGTCAAGCAATAAGGCACGATTTCCCTGACCTTACCCAGTACCCAGACCGGGTGGGATTAGAAGAGCATCTACCAGACACACAGCAAGGTGACAGCAGCCAGCCGTCACCAAGGCCCCGTGATTCCCTCCCCGGAAACGCAGATTCGCAGCCCGAACACCTTGTGAATGGCAGTCAGTCGCAACCAAAAACACAACCACCCGTGCCTCTTTTCGATGAATCGACGAAGCCGTCATCTCATCCGCCAGCTAATCTCCATTCGATACTGAACGATGAGGACCGCTCACCAAAGCTAATTGTGGACCTTGAGTACGTCCAAAATCTACACGAGCAGCTCACCCAGCGGACGAGTGGTTGCTCGGTGGAGCAGCTTGAGCAGATCAACACTAGCCTAATGGATTATCTGTGGCGCACGCGGGGTGAATGGAACCGCAGCAAAGTGGCCGCTGGCATCCGGGACTCATTCAATGAGATCCTCGAAGACATGCAGGCAATGCAAGATATTGGCCCTATCAGTCAAAGGACGAAGGACCAGTTGGGTTCATCATTCGAACACCTGTAACCATGCTGCTGCCCACGTCAAGAGAAGGAGATCCCTTAATTCACTTCTTCCCTTGCCTTCACCCCTTAATCTCTCTCCCTCATCCTCTCTCTTTCTCCATCTCCTTTCTTTCCTACCCACTATCTTCTTCTCTTGGTATAGGGTTGAATTAGGGGTGTTTGTGTTTTTTGACAATGGACTTGTGTAATGAAGTCAATGCTGGCTCTAGGACTCTTTTCTTTTCTTTTATCCTCTTGTCTCTTCTACCCTCAAACTATACCTATCGTGTTTTACATTTCTTATCTTGCTCATCATCTACGGAATGGCTGTTCTGAAAGCCTGCAAAGTGTTTCTTTTTGGTTGGTACTACGGATTCTAAGGGCCGTGTTTTTTTTCCTTTTATGCGAACGTGGACTCGTGCATGTATGCTTTAAGGCATTTCATTTACTTCAAAATTTGTAGACAAGCTTGTAGATAAAATGCATCGGACACCAAAGCATCATTGACTACGGAGTAGAATTGAGTAAATAGATCCCAGAGAATTGAACCGTATGCAGTGAACATGTGACGCGGCCAAGACACCAGCCTGTCCTTTCCCGAAGGAGCGCGATCATCACCGCCTCGCCAGATTTCCTGCGGCAAGAACACTACGAGTTATCTCTCCCTCCCTCATACAACTCCGACATTGTGCTGCTTATTGTCGCGCACAATTTTTAATTGCAACACTCTTTGCGGATAGCGCTGCAAAGGCTTTACACGACACCCAGCCACGATATTATGACCCCAGCCTAAATACTCCCCGCCAACAGTTAAACTCCGTTCGATCGCTATTCCAGGACAACCATAGTTGTCCTATACAACGCCATGGTAAATTGGCTCAGTCTCGCCGTACCGTTCGCCTACCTAGCGTCCTGATCGGCTCCCTAGCAACCTTCTCCTCATTATACCGCAAGCGCAAAGCCCGTATGTTCAGCACCGTTTTGGAAAAGCCACGTTCATCAGTATACTAACCAACAACGTTTAGAAAAGGCGTACTCTCTAGAACCATGGTTCCCTGCTCACCTGCAACGAGATATCTACTTCTCCCTTCTTCACATTGACCCGCCTGCCACCTCTTCTAAGGAGAAGAAGGCGCCCGCTGTACCTGAGTCGGTGCTTAAGGCTGCGCTTTTAAGACGTGCAGAGGAAGATATCAAGCGGGTTTTGGCCCTGCGTAGTCAGAAGCAGGCTTTATCTGTGCTGCTTCAGCGCGGTAGTGTGGGTGATGATCTGTGGCAACGGTTTCAGAGGGCGGAGAAGGAGATGGAGGATGAGGTTCGCGATGTTGTTTCTGAGGTTGGTTTTTCTCTCTTTGTGCTTCGCTTTGGGGCATCTTGAGGATGTGGTCACTAAATGGTTCGAATATAGGCCAACGCATATGTACCCGGTTGGGGCCAAACGATTTTCCAGTCTGCCAATGAAATGATGAACAACACCCTCTACCGCGAGCGCATCGCTGAACAGCAGGCTAAGCTGGACGAGGAGCGTCAATGGTGGGAAAAGAGGAGAGCCAGCATCAAGGAAGGCTTCATGAAGGAATTGGACGCCGAGGACTCTACTTCGACCGCACCTTCACAGAAAACCGAAGCTCCGACCGACACGACTCCTACCACGACCAGCAACTCCACCCCTGCAACAAAGACCCCCGAGTCATCTGGTGCGCCGTCCTCCGTAACTGGAAGCGATGACGATGCTGTTTTGGTCGAGGCTGATGAGCAGGCTGGGAGTCCAGCGTCCCAAAGCAAGAAGAAGAAGAAGGGCAAGAAATAATGGTTTCACGCTCGTGTTTCTCTCTCTTCGATTTTATTCATGCATTAAAAGATACTCTTACACTTTTTCCATCATACGCATCTGTACTTTGTGCTCAATATAACTTGGTGTTAAAAGAGAGACAAGTGGTGTTTCTTGGCTGGTTAGCTTTGCGCGATACTTCTCTCTTCTTGGTGAGAAAGTATACCCTGGGCGAAACAGCCCGTTACTGTAACATAAATGTCAATCTTCCACCCTGTCACGAAAACAGCCCGCCAGGTTTTCTGCTGTAATGTATGTTCACACTCGAACAACTTGAGGAACTTTCTCTCAAATATAAGCACAGGTTGATAGTGTCAATATTTGTTACTGTTTAACTAGGTTCTGGGCCGGCTGGCTCAATGGTAGAGCGTCAGTCTCCTAGTAGGCCATTGGTCAATGATCAAAACTGAAGGTTCTGGGTTCGAGTCCCAGGTCGGTCGTATTTTTGCTTCTCTCTCTTGTTAACTTTTTTGTCTTATTTTTCGTTATGATTTGTGGCCATGTTGATACATCAACCTCGTTATGTGTATGTTGAAGGACAAGATAACAGTATCAGAACTCCAGAACTTCAGTCCAACATTGTCTGGAGGGCGTGGATCTAGACAGAAGTACCCGGTGCTTGTGTAGAGTGTTAACTATACTATGGGTTGGGCTAAATTTCAGTTGTTGACTTCGGTCAATCGTATTAACACTCTGGGGGGCACAATTGGGCTGGTGATATAGAAAATATAAGCTCAAGTTAGTACCTTTTCCGCTTATCCTGGTGTGCGTTGCCTTGTGTTTCTTTATCCTGTGAAGTCTCAGTGTGGATAGGCCAGCTTGCCACTGGGAGAACGATGTTTTCAACGTCCTCAGGATCTTAAGATGTCTATAGTAAGGATGTTTGAAGGGGCCCGGCAAATTGATGTCTCTATGCCAGGCCTCGGCTAGCACTTAACTATCCAGTATATGCAGTCTGGTGGACGAGCAAGACATTTTGTCTATGTTACACCGGGTTCATAGGCAATTCGCCAATGGCCATGTCGCTCGGTATAAGAACGCTGGTCTTGATGCTGACTTGACATATATCTCGGTGGCCATGGTATATATATGAGGTTTTACTTGGTTCAGCTTGGATTTCAAGTTAGTAACCCAGTTATCTAATCTTACCAGTGATGGTATTGCTGACGTACCAACAGACCTTCTCGGTAGACCATGCTGAATGCTTTCTCGATCTACCGATTGGCTTGGGGGATCTTTGGGGCGTTAGGGTCAAGCCTTATTGGGGACCATAGCTAGTATATAGCAATGTTTTCCTGATGAGGCTGATGAACGTTCAGTATCTTGGTGTTTATGACCTGTCGACTAGGGAGGTTAAGTAGCTTCAAAGGCTTTTACCTTGGAGGGCAAGTTATATCGGGTCTTCAGCCAACCCAGGCACTACAGTTTTAGTCTCTGGAGGAGTTATCAGCCTGAGTTGTCAACCGTAGGGTGGGCTACTGCAATTTTGGCTTCTGGAGAGGGGGTTTATTATCAGCCCGCCTCATCTAGACCTTGTCCCCTGTAGTACTCTGGTTTCGTTCTCTCCGCATGTCTGGGGGCACCTCCTGGGATAGGTGGTTATTTGTTCCCATTGCGTTTAACCTTAACCCTTGGCCATGTCGGTCTTGTCATTTGATCCTTGTCGGGCTTCCTAATTCTAGCAAGGGGGCGGTGCTACCTTTCTTACTGATATGAGTCTATCTGGCGATTGGTTAGTTACTCGATACATGGGGGGTGTATGCCACTTTGCGATGGTGTATGGAGCTTCTGGCGATGTACTATATAGATACAAATCCTCGCTCCTATTGCAAT